CGTCGGACATGAATGAATTGGGCTCGAGGCAAAGGCCGTTTGATGTGTTCGAGTTTGAATTCGCCTATTGTACTAAGTAGAATTCTAAATTGGCCCAAGGCCTTTTGATATATGTAAATCTCATTTGTGTACCTTCTTTATTTGATATTATTCACTGGGCTTTCGCTCACACTCATTCATGTGTATGTAGGTGAGCAAAGAGATGTCCAAACCCAGCCCCGGTGAAATGTGAGAAAGGTCAAGTTTTGAGAAGTCAGCCTTAGCGTCTCACGCACGAGACTCGTTTTCACCCTTTTGTTCTTTCGTTATATTATATGTTGGCGAAAACAATGAATCACCTTTGTACATAAGTTTTGGCTTGGCTGACTAAGTTTTGAATGATCCTGTGCATATAGAACTTTGTGTTATTTTCCCTTTTGGTGTGAGCTATTAATGAATACAGATGTGTCATTTGATGTGCCATGTAAGCACTGCTCTATGGACAATTTGTAAATTTGCTTCCGTTTGGCCCCTTAACTCTGATGGATTACGTTTTGTCTAGTTTGAGGCCACAGGTAATCCCTTGATTGCTGGCCGGTTATGACCTTAACCCATAGGGGCAGGTTCGGGTCATGACATGTACTTCGTTTGAAAATGATGGGTATAGAAGTTTTATCTAATCTGATCTGATAGAACTTTGATTTGATGAGACCTTTGTTTGAATTGATAAAACTTTTGTTTGATGACATACACTCTGAACTTTTGTTTGATCTGACCAGATGGAACTTTCATATGATGTGATCCGATAGGATTTTCATTTGATTTGATTTGATTTGAGGAGACCTTTACCTAATTTGGGAACCATTATCTAATTTGATTACGTTATGAGGGATTATGAATTGTTTATGACCGAATGACCGGATTGTGTTTCTACAGGAACTAATAGACTAGGAATTTGAATCAATTTTGAACACTTATGAAGAATGTGAACCGTCAATAGTAGACTATGTGATTATAAATAGTTTTTAACCATATGCCTATAACTGATTGTGAACACACATGAATGGGAATATAGAATTTTGTAACTTATGCTTTGGAAATATGGGAATATGTATATATGACACATAGTTAATTGCTCCGGTATTACCATTACTATCATGAACTTGTTTGAATAAGAAAATGATTGCTTTTGTGTTACCATACTTCGAAATTGATGCTATGAGACTTGTTGACAGTAGACTAGTTTGATTGTAAAACTTGACTACTTGGAAGTATATGTAATCAATATGTTCTATGATTGACTGCTTCTATGTAAATGTGTAATGCAATTGAATCTGTAGAGACTGAAGCCAATGAACAATATGTGAATGATTACTTCAGAATTGTGTTTATTGCTATAGGGTTAATACATGAATTTGCCTTGTATACCTGATAACTTCTGAATGACTTTGAATAACTGTGGTGGATTGCTGCATCAAATACCAAATTGAACAATGAACTGTTAAATGACTGGGAAACGAATCAAGTCTCTGAAACAAGCTGAATGGGGAGGAAACTACATATGAAAATGGGAAACAGTGTGAACCTAAGACATCTTATCTATATATATATATGGTAACTCAAGTTTGGAGGACCAAACTTTTTAAGGTGAGGAGACTGTAACAACCATGATTCGTAATTAATTACTAATCCGTAATTAAGGATGTTAATTAAGTGGTTAAAATAAATTATGTGTTTATTATATATTTTGTATGTTATTTGGCTTTTTATCTGTTACTTGTAGAAATATTTGTTTAAAATTCTGCTTTGATTTAAAAATTGAAAGCCTTATTGGCCTCTAAAACAAAAATTAGTTACATCAATATGTTATTCGAACTTTTTGGAATCATATGGAAAATTTTATTAAAAACTGATTTAGTTTAATTAATTAAGTTGTGTTTGGTGGGCCAAATGTTTTAATTATTGTATTAAGCCACTACAACTATATAAACATGAGCCTTAAGCTCATTTGAGCTCATCTTTGCCCATTGTTGAGTGAAAAAAAATCTGAGATTGTATTCTAGAGAGAGAGTGAGTTTACTTTTAGAAAGAGAAAGTGTAGGAATTGAAGAGAAATTGAAGGCTTTGGCTTGAATTCTTCAAGATTGTGCAAGTATCTAGCTAATTAAAGACTCTAGGTAAGAATTTAATCTCTAAATTTTGAATCTAAGTCATCTAGCATGAGATTTCATCAAGATTATGAGTTTAAATGCATAAAATAAGCTTAGAATGAAGGAAATGGTGCTAAATCATACATGCATGTATGAAATTGTCAAGAACTCTCATGTTTGAACATCATTCATGCCATTAGAGATGAAATTAAAAGCTAGAACTCACATGCATGCATAATTTATAAAGGTTTGAGGCTCAATTGCATGTGTTTAAAGTGAAATGAAAGAATTTGAATGAATTTGAGACATACATACGTGGAAATATGAAGTTTGGCCATGTTGAATTTGGTTTTGAGCATCCAAATTGTTATTGTAAGTTATTTGGCACATGCATGTTTGAATCATCTTGTTTTACCATTTAAATTTATGTTTTGAAAAGGAATTTCTTGCATGCAAGAACTTTGGAGCTCAATTTTGGAAAAGTTAAGAGGTTTTGAGCAAATGATTTGTGAATCATCTTGTATTTGAGTTTTCTAAAATGTTTTTATGATTACCAAAGTGTTTTCATGAGTTTGGAATGGCCATGCAAGCCTCTACAAGTTATAATACATTTTTGGAGTCCAAACTTTGTGTTTTAAAACCTAGAAAATTCACAGCTGGCTCGAGTGACCAAGTGCTGGCTCGAGCCAACATTGCGAGCTCCCAGTATTTTAAACTCTGCAAAAGCTGGCTTGAGCGACGAAGTGGTGGCTCAAGAAAGCCCAATTTTTGCCTTTAGCTGGCTCTAGTGACGAAAAGCTAACTTTAGCCAACAGTTTATTTTCAACATGTTTTTAAAAGATGTTTTAAGTACATATCTTCGTTCCCATCTCTTTCCGGGCATTCTTAGGCATGATTTATGAGCCATTAAGAATTAATAAGCTAAGAAACATCATATGTAAGTGAATTAGAAAATATGTGTCGAATCCGATTATGTGGTTCAACATGAACAAGTCATGTGACATGGAATGAATAAGAAGTCAAGAGCAAGAAAGCTAAGCCATGTATGGCCATATGAATGAGTAATAATAAGACGTGTTTTGTGCTATGTACATTTGTATTTGTAGGTCAAGACTCGAGACTGACCAACCGTTTTTGGAAGCCCACAGTTTGTGATGATTTTGATAGAATTCAAACAAGAAAAATCATACATACACTAATAAAAACAAGATTCAAACTTAATTTTCACCAAAATTCCTGACGAAATTAATTTTGAAAATTCCTAAACATATATATAAACCCCATAAAAATTTAAAAATAAAAAAGTTCCTAAAATTTCATTATATTTAAGAGATGAAAATCATAAAATAGTTGGACAGAAATTGCATGCACAGTTCACAAACTCAATATCCAAGTAGTGGAATTAAAATGAGACAAGTCACATTTCTATCTTGAAAAACTTATCATTTATGTTGAATGGGTTGCACTGAATCATTTAATCAAGGTTCTGAAAAGCAGTTGCGGTCGCCGTAACGGTGGCGGTGGCTCGGTTGCGGTTGTGGAGTGTAAAGGTTGTAGCGTAACGGTTGCGGTAACTAAAATCGTGAATTTTTTTATTTTTCGCACAATTTGAAAAAAAATTTACTGATACGCATATTTTTTTCCCATGATCATATATATTGGGTTTAAAATAAATATTGATAAATTTTTGTAAATTTTTAAATATAATCTAATATATTTCATATTTTTAAATCACTATAAACTGAGTTTTTTACATTTTATTTTAATAATTAATGACTTTATATTATACAAAAAATCAATCACTAACTATTATATATAAAATAAACAATGACAAAAGTAAGAGAATAAATAAGAGCCTAAATATATATATATATATACATATTTTAACTAAGCTAAATAGATAATGACCACACCTATTATTATTATGATTATTATTTTCAAACAATATATAGATAACACACAAACAAAATAGTTGAGTGATAGTAGCTGAATAGAATAGCATAGGTCTTATAGCTTCAACAAATCAATAACATGTTCATCTTCCCTCTTCTCTCTTTCTATCTCTTGCTCCTCTATTTTCTTTCTTTATCTTCCCTCTTCTCTCTATCCCTCTTCTCCATTTTTTAGCTTTTTTTGTCTATTTTTTCGAAAGAAACAATTTGGAACCGTTACATAACAGTGCATAACAGGCCGTTACGACTGTTATGGCACCATTACGACTGCTACAGCAACCGCTACGGCCGACACACCTGTGAATCTCAATCACACTGCAAAAGCGGCCGTAACGGGTGGCAGTAACCACCAAGACCGTTACGTAACGGCGTTACGTAACGGTTGCGACCGCTTTTTAAAACCTTGCATTTAATAAACTTTGAGACAAAACTAACCAAGCCACAAACCATGACAAAACTAACCAATCCAATGACCCTTAAATTTCTATGGCTGGGATCAATGTGTCAAACCCTAACTTGATCAAGACACCTCTCCCATGGAAATGATTTCATTTGTAAGAATACCCCTAGTCAATGTCTCATTCAAGAATAATCTGAATACAAATTTGCATAAGAAAACCTTTAAATGCAATTTCGACAACTACCCTGTGTGTGAAGTTTCCAAAAGTAACAAAACTTAGAATAACATGTCAAGTTTAGCTCAATAACACATGGAACAAGATTAGCAAAACGATGTTCAAGCTTCTATTTCACAAAAAGTCAAATCTAAGAACTCAAGCAAATAGCAATTCATTTATATCCTATAAGAAAAGAGGAATTGAAAAAAACAAAAACAAAAACAAAAAAACAAAATTTGGGTTCAAACAATAATTGAATATAAGACCTACCAATCATAAAACCAAAAACCCATCAAAGAAAATAAAAAAATTAAATCGTTGAATCAACACAAAAAGAACATGTTGATAGCTAGCTAAACTACGAAGACCCAATCCCACAACAGCACACAATTAAACTCCACCAAGACTCAATCCCAACATAGTAATTCCTAAAAACATAGAACACTGTTAATAAAGAACAAGATTAACATTACATTATGTTTGGCTCAATCACATAAGGAACAAGAATAACATTAAGATGTTCAAGCTTCTGTTTTCACAATAACTTTCTCATCCCAACAATTTTAACTAAGCCCATTCCGAGAGAATTGACCAATGAACTTTTTTATTGCAATCATGAGGGAAAGAACTTAAAAGTACTATTCACATAAATTTGGTTGGATCTCTCACCTTTTGTTCAAATTCTCAACTTCTTCATCTGTAACCTGACCTACAAACACCACCTTACTGATCCCATCCGATGGCTAACACTTTCCCTTAAAAAAAATTTAAAAAAAATTCAAAAATACTAAAATCAAAGTCAATCACTGAAATCTAAAGACAATATATATATATATATATATATATATTTAAATTAAAACAAAATCGTGAAATGCTTGTTTGAAGGGAAACGAGATATACCTGGTGAGAATGAGCAGCAGAGGTGATTGAGGGGGAATAGGAGACAGGAATTTCAGACCAGGTGAGTAGATCTGTGGTGGATGTGTGAGACTTCCTCATTGGTGTACTTCTCTCTATTGTTCCTTCATTCACAAAGAAATCAAAATGCTCGAACCGTAAAAGAAAAGAAATCAAACAGAGAATGAGAATGCCTTATTCTAGAGAGAAAATGAAGTGTATGAATCATTCAAGCAAAACCCTCAAAGAATCTGAAGTAAACTATGTGGAGAAACACAAATATTTTTTTTTTTTGATAAACTCCAATCTAATGAAAGATGTATTGAAGCTTTACATTTGATCGCAATGAGAGAGAGACAGAGAGAGAGAAAGAGAGAAAGAGAGTTTGCTCCTGCCGAAAGAATGAGGACAGTGTCTCTAGAATGAACCAGATCGAAGTGCCCAAAATCTATCTTCGAACCCTCTCTCTTTTCCCTTTCTTCTCAACTTCAAACCGTCTCTAGAATGAACCAAATCGAAGTGTCCCTTTAGGGTTTTGCAAGCAAGTTTTGCTTCTGCCTCTTCAAATCAACAAAGAGAATAAAATGTAACAATTTTTTTCAAAAGAGAAGTCACTTTTACCAAACCCTAAAACTAAAAAAAAATTACTTTTGGTTTAACAATTAAAAAAATTACTTTTGTCTTTGATTTAACAAATAAAAAAATTAAAAACTTAGTTGCTCTCATGTCAGTTGATGTAAATTGGCGCTAGAAAATTTCATTTTGACGTTTTTTTTTTTTAACATACAATTCACGACATGCATTGTGCGTTGTAAAAAGAAAATACTTTTAATAACAGACAATGTGTGCGTCGTAAAAAGTGCAATACTTTTAACGGCAGGCGTTGTGTGTGCTGTGAAAAGTGCAATACTTTTCACGACTGACGTATGTGTGTCGTGTATAATTGATGTATTAATGACATGTCATATTCATGTCATAGAAAGTTTTATTATTTACGGTAAATATTGCAAGCCGTAAAAAAATATCGTTACTACCATTCATGGCCTACGCAATAGACACGCCGTGATTGGAAAATTATTTACGACGTGCAAAAAAAGCAAGTCGTAAAAGTGGAAAACTACTGCGTGTATTTATTATATGTCGTTAATGTGGTGCCATAAAAAATCAGTTTTGTCTTAGTGGAACCAATTACAATAACTGCATCGGGTGGTATCAAATCCTAGTGCAATCCTAAAGTTATGCTGACATTCAGTATTAGGATTACATTCCATCATCATAAAGAAACTATTATGCCAAAAGGGCATTCCTATTTCTTGGTTAAGTTGTCCTAAAAGATTATCAATATCGGTATCACTCGTTGAATCACTATCTGAACTTGTACCTTCTATTTGATATTCATAATCACTTATTATGCCGTAGACTTCTAAGTCATCACTGTTTATGCTTACAATATCTTCTTCTAAATCTTCTATAATATGTAATCTTTCTATCTGTTTATTAGTATAGGCTTATGTCTTTTTGGGCAATTTTTTAAAAATGATTAGGCTCTCTACATATAAAACAATATTTTTTAGTACTAGGTTTCTTAACATATCTTTGTTCGCTTTTATCTTTCTCTCCTTTAGGTAGATGCTTATAATTAGTTCTATAAAAAGTTCTACTATTTCTAATAAATTTTTGTTTTTTCCATAGTTTTTTATATTTATTCCTCCAATGTTTATTTTTTTATATTTTTCATTTTTTTTCTTTCTCCTATTATGTTTATTTTCATATTGTTGTGGAGTGTATATTATGCAACTGCATAAATCATAGTTTTGTTTTTTCAAATCTTCCTATATTTTGACTTCTATACATTTTTCTCTAAGCTTTCTAAATGTAAAAACTATTCTAGGTCCTATTCCTAAAGCTCCTCTTATATTTACTTCTCATATGGCTATTCTTGCTGGTAAGGTTGTATAATAAATTGACCATTGTTTCTCTATTTCTCTTCTAAATTCTCCAGGTCACTTTCTAAAATATTTATTTCCTATTTCTTCGTCAAAACTTTTCTGTGTCCTGGCTACTATGACTAAATATTCTTTACTAAATGGTACAAAATATTTCCAACTTCGTAGTGCTATCTGATCTAATTCAGTTACTGCTATGCTTTGAGTATAATCATTTCTTTTGGAAGGGTCATATTCTATGAGCATTTCTTTTATAAAACTAGTAAAATTTCATGGGTTATCTCCTAATCCTTTAAGGCTGTCTAATGGTATCATCGTATTTTCTTTTAAAAGTTAAATATATATTAAAAGCTAAATCTTCTAGAAGTGTTTCCATATATTCCCACATATCATTTCCTTCAAAGGGATTATTCATTCAGGCTTTCATTGCATCTTTTTTTTTTTTTTGCTTGCATTGCATCTTTTTTTTTTTTTTTTCCATTTCTCTATTACTTCTTGCCATATCTGAGGGTCGAATTTAGCTAAATCTAAAAGGGTTCCTTGGTTAGTGGCTGGTTGTAATTGTATGCTTAGATCTGGTTGTCTATGTTAAACTCATACTATTTATTGGGATCTGCTTTACTACGTCATTTATTGGTTAATGGTCGTCTTCCTCCTACCTCATATTTCATTGGTTCTTCTACTGTGGGCTGTGGCTGTAGATTGTTAGTTCCTGTGCTTTCTGTTGTTTGAGGAAATGTTTGAGTATTCATATAAAAGGTGTCTTCTACGTTAGCCTGTTTTGGTATTTTAAATATATCTACATATTCGGTATGAAATTCTTAGTCCAAAAATGACACTGCCTCATCATGGGTATGTCCCCTAGCTATATATTTATAATATCTAGTATCTAATATTTTATTCATATCACTTAAGGTAAAATTATCCAAATCTATTTCATTAATATTATATATCCTATTTTGTGATACTATTTTTTTTCTCTGTCCTTACATAAAGCTGATCTATGCTACTATGATTATCTTGATTTTCCTCCTTATCTATGTTACTGAATTCATCTTATTTGGATCTTTTTGGGGCTATGTATATTGATTAAATCTTACTGCATAACTACCGTCTACTTTTTGATATAGTAGGTTATGTTGAGGGGCTAACCTTTTTTGTCCTAAGAAATCTCCTAAATTCCAATCTAGTGCTGCATTATTTGCAGAATTATATTTTTTAGCTAGTAGTGCCTTTATTCCTTTTGCTCCTAATAACTTAATTATCTGATCATTTATAAGTCTAGAATGGGTATCGCTTTTTGAGACCGCTAGGCCTAAAAACCCTGTGCAAACTAATAAATCATTTTCTCCCATTTTCATTTTATATCTCTACTTTTTATTCATATTTTTATCTTTTTATTAAAGGTTGAGGTTGGTAAAAGAAAATCTGGTGTGAAATAAGCTATTCCTCCTTTTGAATTCATATCTAATTTATAGCTGCCTAATATACTTTGTCTTACATCATTAAACCTATCATCATAAAGACATACAAAGACTCTAGCTCCTAAATTTTCTCTGGTTAAAGCCTTAATTCCTATTACAACTAATCATAAGTGGGTCATCTTGAGATGTTCATTTATAGCATAATTATAACTGTCTATATTTATTAAATTTAGCTCTATTTTTTTTATCTTCATGAGTTACGGTAATCATTTGTTCGCCATAGTATTTAAATAAATATTGCTTCCTATGAATTTTTCCTAGTTTACACATATACTTGGTTGGAATTAAATCTAATTTTTCCTTTTTGAAGTTCCTATTTGTTGTTCTACATCTATGAATTCTTCGACCTTAATATCTTCATCTTCATTATGCTTTTTACTACTACTTCCTTTTACTAGCTGTTTGAACATTTTTATTTTCTATAAGTTCTACAAACAGGCTTTCTTACTGTTAATCCTAATGGTAATTTAAGATTTTTAAAATATTTAGCTATATTTTTTTCGTTTATTTGAGAATGAACCTTACTTGTCCTTCAACCGTTTTATCCTTTTTGATGCACTAATCTTTCTAAAGAAGCTATACGATTTTCCAAACTGTGTAGTTGTTATGATAGTTCCTCAAATCTTTCACACAACCAAATAAGAAATAAAATTTCTATGTTATTTTGTCTTACAAATATTTTATCTAACTGATTTATTCTTTGATAGCTACTAATTCCTTCTGGGTTATTATGAAAATCTTCTGCTTGTTTTAAAATGGCCAAATAATCTCTGTTAGCTTTCTTATTACTGCTCATAAATTAAGATCTTATTAATTGCTCTAATACTTCTAGCTTTTGTTTTAAATTATCCTGAATTTGATTGATCTGTTCTATTTGTCTAGCTATTTGATTTATTTGATTATGAGTTGCTTAGATTCTAACTCTATTTGTTTCAAATTACTAGTGTTTATGGTTGAAATTAAGGTTTCAATTTCTAGCTTAGTGGGAACCTTTTCTAAATTTAAATCTAACCTTTTTTGTAGAATCGAGTTACACTGATCTTGGATATAATCTAATTTCTTATCTTGATCATTAATTATACTGCGAGCATTACGAAGATGGTCTATAAACAAGGTAAAAAGATTGTTGATTTTATCCACATCCTTTTTAATATTTTCTGCAAAATTAATCTGATGATCTATAATACTATTTAGCTGAAAATTATGTTTGTTACGAAGCTTATGTGTAAAATTACCTTCAAAATTACAACAAAATTTATTTTTATCTATATTAAGGCGACGATTATTATAATTACTGAGATCTAAATCTAGGTATTCTACTTTTCTCATATACAAAATTAAATCATAATTTATAATTATTAAAAGCTACTATAACATCAAACTTGTAACTAATTTTTTCAATAATAAAAACTACTCTATTTCCGTAAGCAAAATGCATACACTAACTTAAATTTTCTTAAAACCGAATATTGCTCTGATATCAATTTTTTCGGGGGTTAGTGGTTTACTACTATTTTGGAATTGGGCTGAGAGTTATCTAGTTAATTCTGCAGTTATTCTACTAATAAGTTCTTAAGCTGTTGTATTAATTGCTCTAAGGCTTCTTGTTTTATTGCTAGCTGTCTGTCAATTTGTGTGACTCTCAAATTATGGTGTGCTAGAGATCTACCTGTAGCTAATAATAACAGAAATTGATATAATTATTTCAGATCTTCTATCTCTTGTCTAAATTCAGTACTAGCTTTAATTTTAATTCTAAGTTCTCTTTCTAGAAGCATGAAACTTTGGGTTTAAAAGATATTATATTGAAAATATTCCTTTGGTATTTCGATTTAGATTACTCTTCTATTATTCTAAATTTCTTTCATTATTTTGTAAAACTATTTTTAAGTGATGTTTGCTTTCATTACATGTACTCCCACCTTGAAACTAGTCTTGTTTGACATAGTTATAGACACTCCATTTTTGACTGCTCTTACGACTTGGATGTCACCGTTTGCCCACCCAATAATGAAGTTGTATATGATTGTCAAGTGCTCGAACCCTATACACCTCTTACCTTGTTTTGGACCAAACCACAATTTTTCAAGCCTGAAAACCTTGGGACCTGCCGACCTCCTTGTGTGGGCTACCGGCCACTGATATTGGCTACCGGCCACAAG